CGTCGAGCGCGTGCGGGGGCGGGTAGGCGTACGGGTGTGCGTCGCGCAGAGACACGTGCAGGGGGAGAGCGCGGAGGGGCACGCGCGGCATCGGCCGCGGCGACGGCGAGCGAAGCGGCGACGGGGGGGGACAGGGCGATCGCGGCGCGCAGCTCAAGGGCCGCGGCTAGGGCGAGCGCCCAGCGGGAAAAGGGGAGCGCGAGGGGCGGCGCGGGGGGCGAGAGGGCGGTGGCGAAGGTGCGCAAGAGGGCGCACACAGCGGCGAGCGTGCGCGGGGGTTGGGCGGAGGAAGGGGCGAGGAGGGGGAGAGTTGTGCGCGGGAGGGCGAGGAGGAAGGCGTCGAGTGGAGCGGCAGCGCGGGTGGTTAGGAGGGTGTTGTGAAGGAGGGTTAGGGTGGCTTCGTCAGAGAGGAGGTGGAGAGGAGGGGAGGATGGGTGCGGTGGCGGGGGGGGCGGGTGGCCGGGGGAGAGGGCGTGGATGTTGATGAGGAGGAGGGAGCGCAGATAGGGGGGGGAGGAGGAGGGGAGTGGGGAGAGATGGCGGAGGGAGGCGGAGCGTCGGCCGGTGTGGAAGGCACGCGCCGAGAGATGCCAGGCGTCCTCCATGGTGGGGGTGGGTTGCGCGCGCCCGGACGATGATGATGGCGGGGAAGGGCGACGGGAATGAGGCGGGGATTGATCCGGGGCACTCATCCGGGGGGGGTGGGGCCTGCCGCAGAGCGCGGGAAGATTTGGGCATATTTCGGGAAATATTTGGAGAATACCGAATGGTAGGAAGGATTCTAAATCGGTCGAAAAAGATGCGCGAGGTGGCGGCATGCAAATCGAGACCTGCGCCAGATTCCGCGGCGCCCAATCCGCGCCCCTCTTGCACTGCCGAGATATTTCCGGGCCCGCGCCGCACAACCACGCAACCGGGCAACGTTGCCCAGATTGCAGCTCCCGTCTGAGCTCTTCGTCCTTTTATAGCCCTCACTCGCCCACCTCCACAAAGCCTAATCCCTCGCTTACCTCCTCTTCCCCATCTTCACCCCCCACCATGTCCCTCAACCGCCTGCTCCCCCTCGCCCGCCTCCCCTCGCGCCTCTCGCCCCGCCCAGTCCTTCCGCGCCTGCTCACCACCGTCACATCGGCCCCCTCAGCCCAAGCGGAGCCTTCTGCCGCCGCTGGGGCTTCCGCCCGCCCGCATCATGCCGTCGTCTCGCTCGCGGGGCAGGACCGCGTCGGTATCGTGCGCACGGTCACCGCCGCCGTCGCCAATCAGCGCGCAAACGTCGAGGAATCCAAGATGGCCATCCTGGGCGGCGACTTCGCTATGATAGTCTACGTTTCTATGGAGGACTCGCAGCACGCGGATCAGCTCGTGGCACAGTTGAAAGCGGAGCTGCCCTCCTTCACGATATCCGTCAGGGAGACCAGCCCCCCAACGCGGCACGACGTGGGGCACGTGAAGACGATGTGGACTATGCAGTTCGAGGGGCCGGATCAGCCCGGCATTGTCGCCGCCGTCACTCAGGCGCTGGCTACTCATGGCGCAAACGTGCATGAAATGGATACGGAGACTACTACCGCCCCGTTTGCTGGGTACACCTTGTTCAAGATGAACGGAAAATTCGCAGTCGATGATGAGCATTTGGAGGAAGTCAGCAAGGCCCTGACTAAGGTTGAGGATAAATATGGCTCCACTATTAATCTGGACCAGGTGCCAGCTAAGGAGTGAGCGCTTTGCCTGTCGGTGTATAGTGTTTGAGCCCTGGATAAGAGATGGGGGTAGTGAGTGTGTCTACTCCGTAATAGTTTTTACAATCTGGGTCGGAACTTTGATAGTGCAACTCTGAATAGTTTTGAGACGCTCTCGCTGCGGCCTCCAACCCGTATTTTTCAAAGGCATTTTGTCCAACCAGTTAGCAACCAGATAGTGGGTCTCATGCGTCCAACTGTTTCTGCAACTGTGTCTTGCAAGTACGATCTTGAGGCTTTCCTAAGTTGGAGTTCAGTGATATACGAAGATTGAGAGTGGCGGGGGAGATACAAGACAGGGCTTCATGTCTTTCAGCGAGTCTACTGGGATATCTAGAATTGTATATTTCATGTACACTTTCGAAATAATAAAACACTGAGAATTTCCCTTCGAGAGTGAAGATATACAGATTTTCAGTACTGGTCACTCCCAATTCAACCGTGTCTACATTCTCAATGCAGTAGTAAATACTGTCACATGAAAAAAGGAAGCCCATTCTGTATAAAAGACGCATCGGGTTCGCCTTCTCATGACTGCTTGTCGTTACTTAATATTTATCATACCTGCAGCTTCTTGCAAAGCTAGGCCGCTTCCGAAAGAACCACATAAACGTTCACACCGCTTGAGCAACGCATTGCATTGGCGATAGCGCCCATTCTAATTTTCAGAGCAATGCATCGTCTTCCGCTTTCATTGTTCATTGCGAGTTTACTTGTTCATCAAATATGCTCGTCAATAATCCCCGAGCAGGGCTTTGATGGAAAGCTTTTTCAATGGAGCTACGGGAAGTCTGCAGAGAAGACATACCTATTTACCCATACACATTGGTGGGAATCACCCGACCATCAAATGACGTCCATCATCTCACTGCTCACGTTGGCGAAAAACACTAGTTCCATTGCTGTAATTCCACCTCTCTCATCACGTGGAGGGGCCAAAAACCAGGACAGTTTTCTGCTTGGTGACTACTTTGACCTTGATGCCGTCAACAAGGTGCAACCTGCAATGTTGCTAACAGACTTTATGAAGATAGAAGATTATCAAGTATTGAAGAAAGCAGAGACTGGTGCAGTTGCGCTTCCTAAAAAGTCACAAGAGGAGTATGAAGCCAGGTTGAGCATTTTCGGAAAGCTTCAAGACACATTTGTGCATTTGGAAATGCCTCCAGTTGATCCAGAAAGCACCAATCAGAAATGTAACAAGTTTGGGGGTGCCATGTATCTGAGCGCAGACAGAAAAAGACGATATGTCTTTTTGGACCGCATCCATTTCTTGCACTTCTGCTGTGAAAGGTATATGCCATGGTGGTACGATATTCGTCACAGGATTGCACCTAGGAAGCCGTACTTTGATGTAGCAGCTAAATTAATGGATGGGAAAACACATCCCATCTCAACGATTCACATCAGTGACGTCATGGAGGCACAAAAAAACAGAGACGAGGAAGAGATTGAAAGATACGCTCGTCAAATTGTTGACAGTTTGCGGAAAAACCAAGCTATCGCAGGAACCATATTTCTGACGTATCAACAAGGTGGCCGAAATGTCAAAAGAGTTGTAAAGCTACTGCAACAAGAATTTGAGCATATTGTAGACTGCTCTAAGGCGTACTGCGGGCAAACGATTGGTAAAGACTTCTTGGATAAGCCCCTGCCAGCGAAAGAGCATGAAAAGAGTTTTGAGACAGTGCTCGGACCGAACATGGTTGTATGGGCACTGGGTTCGAAGAGCGACTTGTACATTGGCAATATACACTCCCCATTTTCGAGAAATATTTGCCTTTACCGCAAGACGAATGGAGCTACATACTCAATCTTAAAAGGCTTTGGAGAACTCCGTAAGATCTGGTCATGGAACCTATAGAAATTCTTCTGCATGCAATGTAGCATTCGAAATAGCCTTTGACTCATAGTTGGTACCTCTACTGTAAAAGTGGGCGATCAGCAGTGGCTTTAGAAGGTTTCCTTTACGTGCAGAGTGCCAAGAAAGGTGATAAACCTCACTGAACAAGATAATGTGTTCGGGCACGAGGCGGATTATACTTCAATCCTTCCACACCCTTTCGACTAGGCTGTTTCTATTTTTTCCAACGGTGCAGAACGCATGCGTTTCCATTCATGTTCCAAAACAGTTTTGGCCTGACCGCGAAACTATTGGATGATGTGTCTCGGTGAGAGGCAGTTTGAACTCTTTCTGACCTAATCATCTTTCCGATACTTGCCGTACACGTCCACCAGGCATCTGTGTGCCGGGACTCGAAACAGAAAAGTAGCTCAATTACTCTCTGCTGTAGCTACTGTAGGTAGTTCTCTGCATGCAAGCAACGCATTATTATTTCTTTTCTCCGGCTGAGGCGACTGCCTGGCACCAAACGAACAACTCTCTTTAATCTCACCAAGAGATCGCGAACTACTCGCCACGCACTCTACCCAAAGTTAATCTAAAAGTTACGCGACACGACGGGCCTCACGCACGTCTGACTTGCACACATCTATCTACAAAACTCGGCCACAGCAGCTACATCGTCCCCCCGGGTACATAGCGCAGACCGATCCTAACTCCGAATCTGTCCTCGACCAAACCGAGCCTCTCCGCCAAGCGGTGGATCTTCCCCTCCGCGACCTCGAGCGCGCCGGCCATCCTCGCGACTCCTCCCTCGACCTTCATCTGCATCTCCATAACATTCCCCGCCACGGCCTCAATCTCCTCACCGACCGCGGCGGCCAGCCCGGTACCATCGGGCCCCTCGAGCCATACGCACCACCTCTGTCTCCACGCGGGCGAGTCCGGGCGCGTGCTTCTGACGGCGACGTCGAAGCCGGGGAAGTCGCGGCGGAGGCGGCGCTCCAGCGCGGCGGCGCGGCGGCTGTCTGGCGGACCCAGGTGCACGGC